CTGGGGTTCTAGAAAATATGTAAAAAGACATTTACATTCTTAACAATATCCCTACTTGACTCTTTCTTTAAATATTGGTTTCAGGCACTTACTAAATATTAGTTCCGGCTTTTTAAAAAATTAGATTTTATATGTAGATGTGTAACTCTACCTGGTGGATTATAGATTGGTGGAAAGAGAGCCACAATCACTTTCTCGCCACATTCACATAGTAAAGTTAAATTAAGTTCTTGTAAGAAGCCAAGGATGTAAAACTTGTAGGGATGCACGTGATCCTTGGAGGGGCATCTGTTTGCCCTCCAGTCCCCAGGTGACACCTGAGCTAGTCCAGAGCATAGAAAAGTCCAGGTCACACGCAGCCTGTTTAGGAGGAGCCGAGACCCTTAACATGGGGTCTGTGATAAGATCAGTGTTTCCTATCCCACCCTTTCCTGGTCCTTGACTCAAACTTAACATCATCGTGACGACTCTTCCCCATCTGGGCTTCCCAGGAGCCCCTGCATGACCCAGGGACCCTGGAGTCCGACACGGCCAGTGTCCCTGCAACTTGTGTGAGGAAAGCTGAAAGCCTTTCTTTTTTTATTTTTTTATTATTTTTAATTTGATAGATTTTCTCGTGGTTAGAACACTTCTCTGGAAATGTACTGATCCGTGGTGGTGTGTGATAGGATGAATTGGAGAGAAATTTTTCTTTGCAGAAGTAATGGACGGACAATAAAAATCATTTTCAATGTTTTCAAAGTGATTTTAATGACTGGGGAAATCTTGTGACATGCTCAGTGAAGAGGAAGTAAAATTTTGAGTACAGGATATTCTTAACTATGTTAAAATACACAAACACACACTCCCCCCTCCCCCACCCCCAATTATAAACAGTGGTTATTTCTTGATGGCAGAACCATGAGTGATAGTTTTTTTTTCTTCCTGATGCTTTTCTGTTATTTTGTTTGTTTGTTTGTTTGTTTTTATGTGTTTTGGGGGAAGAGGTTTGGAGTCTACTCAGTTCCTCTTATTTTCTTCCTCCATATCATGGAGTTGTATAATTTCCCCTTAATTTTCTTTGATGGATGTTTTGAGAATAATCACTACTCTCAGAAGGAAGGCATTTCATTAGAATAAATACACCCAGGACAGAAATAAATGTACTTGATGACGTTAAAGCAAAGCATTGGAATAATGTTTTCAGAAGTAGTCGACTTTCTTAATTCTCATAGCAATCTTATTAAAGTATCTAACAGCAAAGTAATATGTTCTAATCTAATGTTTTTAATTTTTTAAAGCAAATATTCTTATTCCAAAAGTGTACAGGCATTTTAAATCATGAATGTAAATGTATAAAATAATGTAAATACACATAAGTGAGAAAGGAAAATAAATGTCACCCATAATTCCATAACCTAAGAGAAAAAATGACACTGTTCATATTCAGATTTATATGCTTCTAATCTTTTTTCCCCTTTGCCTAGACCCTTGTGTACATATATTGAAGACAAACAAATAAAAACAACATCTGATGATTTGACTTAAAAATAATAAGTACCACCAAGGGTAAACTCTCATTTTCCTCTCCTTCTGACTTACACATTCTCGAGGTTAGTTGTAGGAGAGTCTGCTTATTTAGTTCCAACTATCACCCCGAGCTCTCCAGAAAGTGTGACCAGACATCTGGACACCCTGGATTGCAGCTCATTCCACTGTGTCTGCTGGAAGAAAACTCGATGAGAATACAATGTACGTGTGTGTCCCTAAGAGCCTCCATAGCTTTATTCCTTCTCAGCCCGGCAGACTTGTGCAACCCTGGAGTTCTCACTTTCAGTCACTCTTCAGTGTACATGTCTACTGTCCCTGCAGGACCTGGCATAGGGACCGTGAGGTGCCAGGAAAGAGGGCCAAGGCTTCCAAATTATTTTAGCTCATGCTACAAATGTCCCCAAATGTAACACATAATTCTCAGGCATCTTTGCGGTCATGACATTTTGTTGGCCCCTTCCATATTGCTGTTACCCAGAAAAATCATCCTGATCTCCAAACCCTTCTCTTCCTCAAGTTAGGGCCTCTTGGAAAATCGCTTTCCTGACAGCCCTGCTCACACATGGCCTCCCTTGCTGGTCTCCCATGTCCTCATCGCTCTCTCCCCGGCTCTGAGTCAGCTCGAGCTCTCCTAGGGCCACTCAACACAGTATATTTTCTGTTTCTTTTTTGAGGATTTGCTTTGTCACATAATTGGCCTTATCTACAGGTACCCATATTTTGACTCTTTAAAAAATATATAACAACTAAAACAAAATCAGAAAGGCATAAGGAAGAAAGAAAAAGTATCACTCATGATACTGTCACCAAGAAATAACCACTGTTCACAATTTTAGTGTGTGTGTTTCTGTATTTATTCTAAGACAGTCAAGATAGAACTTTGGCCCAGCCGACGTGGCTCAGTAGTTTCAGCATTAACCTATGAACCAGGAGGTCACGGTTTGATTTCCGGTAAAGGCGTATTCCCAGGTTGCAGGCTCAATCCCCAATATAGGGCATGCAGAAGAGAGCCAGTCAATGATTTTCTTTCATCATTGATGTTTCTCTCTCTCTCTTTCTCTCTCTCTCTCCCCCTTCCTCTCTGAAATCAATAAAAATATATATTTTTAAAAATATAGAACTATGTTTCTCACTTTCCACTTACTATGTGATAAGCATTTTTTCAATCATGAACATTATTTACACACTTTTTAATGACCAGATAATACTTCACTTTATGGATTTGCTGCCAAGTGCTCAGCTGTTGTTTTAATGTTAGCAGACCATCTAAATACTTCTTTCCTGTAGTGTATTCACGATCAGCAGGCATGGAGAACATAGGGCGTGTACAGAATTCTCAGAAAATGGCAGCGGTCGCTGTTTTTGTTAATGATCATTTTGCTGCTCAACTGTTGTCGGGACACCAGGAGAAGCCGTGGTTGCTTCCTGTTCAGGAGAAGATGATGCTGCGAACTTGGGGTAGAGGGCGGGTGTTCCCTGAGCCTGCGCACAGCTGAGAGAGGATTTCTCCGAAGGGTAATTTCGAATCCAGTAATGAGCTGGCCTTTCCAAGCTGAGATCAATCTGTTACAAGCTCAAAAGCCTTGGGTTTCGGGTTTTCTTGCTAAGTATGGAGTTAAGAACTTGAAAGAAGCCATTCTCTTGAGTTTGGTGCATCGGGTGGTCAGGCCCTTGTGTGGCACATGGTAATATCAACTGTGAATTATAATTATCCTGATGTCACTCAGGGAGTCCCCAGGAGAACCCTTGCTCCCTGTTAACCAGAAAGCACCATGTTTATGCCAGGGAGCGGCTGTTAGTCAGAGGGTGAGGGAAGTGTGTGATAAGACAATTTCTAAAGTAATCACAAGGAGAAAGGGTTGAAAAATTGTGGTATGGAGTGATTAGATTGGTGAGAACACTAGTTGAGGGGGGAAATATAGAATCAGAAAGGTGGGGGTGAGGTAAAGGCGTAGCAATAAATGAGCAAAATTGGAGTCAAATGGAGGAAACCACCAAGAAAAGGGTAAGAAAGAAACAGAAATGGAAGGTGAATTCAAATATTGCTGCTGACCTTGGAGAGCCTGCCTCTCCTCCCCATTCTTTTACCCGCCTCCCTAAATAGTCTTCTACACAGACCTCTAAATATTTGTTCACCGAAATTATTGTACATGCCCCAAACTCTCTTTTTGAGTTTCTATCAACTATTGATAAGGAACTTAGAACAATGAATCTACCAAATTCCAAATACATATAATTTATATGGAGTAACATAACATTGCCATTGGAAATGACATATCACAACATAAAACAAACGTAGTCTCCAAACACTTTAGACATGAAAAGCAAATGTTGGCCATGAGTCCCATGGGTCCTATGGGATCTGTTGACTCATCTGCCTCTGTCTTGACTTTTAGGTATTCAGAACAATTGCTATGTCATATTCTCATATGACATAATGTTACCACGAGTAACATTTAGACTATCGTGTTTACAAATTTTTGACCTATTCTGGTGTTGGCTGGAAATTATACCTTTTGTTATAGTTCTTTCATCATTTGGGCTAATATCTCTCAATGAATTCCTCATTTCTTTATTGTACAAGCCTCCTTCAAAACAGGTAAAATAGCTTTAGATGGAGAACAGATCAATGTCAAATTTTGTTTTAAAAAAAATAAATATTTAATTTTCTATAAAAAATCTTTGAGATGCTCAAAAATGTCAAACTCTCCTTGGGTCTTGTAAGTATTTGAATGAAAGGTATTTTGAAGTGGTGAATTCATTGGAATTAGTTAAATTTACTGAATGATGGGTTTTATGACTTAGTTTTTTTAATCTAACTCAGATCAAAGTATAGGAACCTTGTATTTCTATAAAACACATAGAGACTCTTAACTTTATCAGAACCTGGTTCCTTGCGGTATTGAGCATGTATCTGGCAATTCTATTTATTTGTCCTTAGTAAATATATATGCTGAATATACTGCTTTAGTTTAAAACCACAAGTAACATTTAGACTATCATGTTTACAAATTTTTTAAATAGTTAGATGGAGATAACACTGTGTTGGTATATTGTCATTTATTTTGCTGCCCCTTACTTATTTATGTTTGTTCTTGTTTATATGGGTTATAAAATTAGTCCAGTTCTATTTACAAAATTATCTTAGTTCCATTCCTCCCTCCCTTACATTAAGAACATGGATGCATAGCAAGGCTCCAAAACAGAGATGCTTTAAAAATGCAGAAGTGTTACAAATAAGAAGCACCAGGAACATTCCATGTCCTATAAGGTCTGGCACAGGCTTTTAAAACCACCAACCCACCAAACTTTATTTTGTGTTAAGTTGGTTTTGCTTAGAGCATCTCTGTACGGCCCTCCCTTACCAGGCGGGTACCCCTTCCAGGTTTCCTGCAGGGACCCCCACCCCCATTTCCCCTGAGTCCTGCGCTCGGTTTGTGACCCTGCTTTTGTCTCTCGCCCATCCGCAGAGCCCGGCGTTTGCACGGTATTCGGAGATCCCCACTACAACACTTTTGACGGACGGACATTTAACTTTCAGGGGACGTGTCAGTACGTTTTGACGAAAGACTGCTCCTCCCCTGCCTCGCCCTTCCAGGTGCTGGTGAAGAACGATGCCCGCAGGACCCGCTCCTTCTCGTGGACCAAGTCGGTGGACCTGGTGCTGGGCGCGGGCACCGTGAGCCTCCAGCAGCACCTGACCGTGCGCTGGAATCTTCCACATCGACCTGGACGGCTACCTCCTGAAAGTGACGACCAAAGCAGGTGGGCTTCGGAGCAGGGGTGTGTGTGGCCCTCCACCTCTCCAACCCGAACAGCAGCATCGCCTGAGCGCTCAGGACCCGGCTCCCCCTCTGCCCAGGGAAACCCCGAGGCAGGGAAGTGGCCCAGCTGCAGGCAGCAGATCTTGAAGATGCTCCTGAACAGCCGGAGACGTTGGCACACCCTCTGCCTTGCACTCCCACGCCAGTCCCACCAGTCTTGCAACCCCCGGACACGCAGGGCCTTTCCATCCTCATCCCACAACTAACAGGCCTGCTCCCCACATAACCTCTTCTTGTGTTTTGTTGCTAATTTTAGGCCACCGATGGCCAGCTTGGAATTGTCAGTGTCCCTCCCAGCTGAGTCAGTAGTGTGCCGTTTCACATCTGTGACAGTGTTTCCTTGTCAGCATGGGTCCAAGGAGGGGGAGTCCTCCAAAGGAAACCGCAGTGTGTGTGGGTGTGCAGATGCAGTGCTGGGGCAGGGCTGTGTGACCAGCAGCCCTGTCCGTTCTGGACCCTGGGGAAGGATGCTCACGGGGTTGATGGCTGGAACCATTGGCTCCCACTGGAGGACCCTTGGGAGGCTCGCTGAGAGCTCTTCCCCTGGCCTTGGGCATGTGGAGCTGACCCGGAGGCCCTTTCTCAGCAGCCCTTGTTGCCTGAGGCCCACTGGACTCTGCCTTTCCATTGGAAGGGTTAGCTACATCTCCAGCAGTGGTTGCTAGGTTCACCGTTGCTAGGTTACTCCTATGGGCTCAATGAGGTGCAAATTTTTGTCTGTGATGTGCTACCTAAGAGAGTCATCGTAGGAGCAGAATTTGGTTCTTCAGTATTGGCCCCGAAGTATGAGTTCAGCTCATTTACACGGTTTGTTTTATCACATGTGGTTCCTTGCAGGCTACCTTTGGTTCATTCATACTGTTTGTTAATTGGGTGTTAGTTTGCGTAATTTCCTGGCCTATGCTATTTGTTTAAGTGTGATTCTTGAGGGAATCAGGGTATGTCTTGCTTTTTGCATTGATGAGAATTTAACAAAGTGAAAGTATCAATTGGGTTCCAGTTCCTTTCAGCGGTTCTCAACCTGTGGGTTGTGACCATCGGAAAACACATATAGCATATCAGATATTTACATTATGATTCATAACAATAACAACATTACAGTTAGGAAGTAGCAACGAAAATAATTTTATGGTTGGGGGTCACCACAACATGAGGAACTGTATTAAAGGACCACGGCATTAGGAAGGTTGAGAACTACTGCTTTAGATAATATGGATCCACAAGGGAAACATTGGCCAGGGCAGGCACTTTTGAGGGGCTATAGAGACTGTTTGGCTCTACTCTACCTCCAGAACCCTGTGAACTGTTTCAATCCAAGCCAAATATATGTTTGATAAATTGATTTAGCCTATGGAATGCCAGCCTAACTAAACAAGGCAGGAAGCCAAGGAGAAGCCCAAAGAGCTTTTATTTAGAGAAGACAGCATGGTTCCAGTGAGAGCACGTTCATTGTTAATGTACTGCAACATCCTCTAAAGGGGGAAGGATTCCCATGCTTGACCTTGAGTGTGGCAGATGTGCGGCGCTCCATTCATTCAACTTTAGAGGGATGAGTCCTGCTCAGAAAATATAGCCACCTGCTGTCGGATGCAAATGACAGGCCCCTCTTCAGATAGAGGCCTCAGCTCATTCCCTCAAAGGAGGCAGCAGTTGGTGGGTCCCTGTAAAATGTGCACCAGTGACACATGAGTAAACAGCACTAATGAGAAGCGCCTGGCCTATCTGTGCGCCAGCCAACTGAACACAGTGGGTTCTACTGATATGGAAATTATTAGTCACCCACAACCCAATTCTCCCATGGATCCTGGATGCTCAAAGATTGCTAACAGCTAGGAGGTTCCACACCGCTCTGTTCCCAGCTGGCGGCACCTTCTGGAATAAGTGTGCTCTTTGTAAGGAGTCCACATTGTAAAAATGAGCACAAGGATGAGGCTGCTGAGAAAATAATAATACATCATAGGCACCATCATCTGATTAGTGAATCTAACTCTTCTAGGCCGTGAACTTAGTTTGCCAGTTTCATTAATTTTTCCATCTGAGGATTCAAGTAATTTATGTGGTTCCCTTCATACTCAGCTGAACAGTCTCTTGGAGCCGTGAAGCTCACAGGCCCTCTGCTTCCTGGGGAAGAGCTGTATTCCTCTGGGCACTCAACTGGCGTTGACGCTACCCTTTGAATGGGACAATTGCATTTCCAGACAAGAGTCTTTTCCACTCTGGTCGACCACCCTCAGTTTGTACTACCCCTTAGGGATATTTTGTTTTTATCACCTATCGATTGTCTGTTTAAAATATCCTTTGAGGGCTCTTCTTCCATCATTTTTTTTTTCCAGTTTCATAAGCTCATATGATCAAAGGGTACTTTCTTTAGAGTAACAGCTTAAATCAAGCCTGCGCCTGGAGGAAGGGGAAATGGGAGGCAGGACTTTGCCCCTATGGTTTATGGACTCAGCATTTCAGGATGGGATCACCTGCAGGGAGCACTGTGGCCTGTCACTGGGGTGGAATTCGGTGGTAGCTGCTTTCCTGGTAACATCGGGGTCGTACACAGGGCTCTGAGCAACGCTTGGTAGCTTAAGAAAGCACTGGCCATCCCGTCACTTCCCCCACCCCACTCTCGGCACTTGGCAGATAATTGAAAAGTATTTCCTTTCTGCCATCTGTTCGTGTCATCAGCTCTACCTGAAAGAGTTACAGCAGACCCACCTGAAAGGCATTAGCACATGTGAGTGTGGCTTTTTATTTAACTTTGTTTCCGGGTTCATCAAGAGTTCTACACTTGGACCTGGAAAATATATATTTTAATTGTTTTTCTTTTGATGTAAACTGAATGGAAAAGCATCCATTTTTAAGCACCTCTCTGGTATGTCTGTTGATTTCCCACCGCCTCTCTCCTTTAATGGATAACAAAAGCAACAATAACAACATAAAAACAAAACAAAGCGGAACAAACAAAAACAGCCATGAAATAAAAGAACAACTCCCCATATCTGCCCCCAGGAAATCCCCCAAACTAGGGGCCTGGAACTAGGTCACATGTTTGAAGTATGAAGAACAAGTTAGTAAAACACGCACTGGTGAGGAGGGAAAGTTGGAAGGCCGTTCATTCAGCGGAAGGAATGCGGCCACTGCTCAGCCCTGGATGGGAAATGTGCTTCAGCTCCAGCCTCTGACTCTGCCAGTTGTTTCTACCCGGTTTCCAGCAAGAGAATTAGGAAACTCATCCCAGCTGCAGAAAAGATGAACCCCAGCCCATACTACCATGATATTTCATCTCCTAAGATGCTTATTTAAAATATCTTTTGGAAGAGCAATCTCTTCAATTACAACTTGTTAGGGTTTTTTTGCCTGTCACTACTGTAATCTATTTTAATAGATTTTACTAATGTAGAGAGTAAAAAAAAAATCATGCCAACACATGTGTATACAATACAGCAAGAGACAAAGGCATCGGTAGTTGAATAATATATCCCTTCAGAATATGAAAGCTAGCATTGGCCCATGAAAATCCTTTTAACGTAATAAAGAAAAGAGGAGGAAAAGAAAGCGAATTACAAAGTATGCTCTTACTTTGGGGACCATGTTTTATGAGTGAGATGGTAAGAGTTTTAAGAAGAGTTTACTAAGAACACAGTGGGTCTCCCAGGCCTGCACAGACCACCAGTCCATTGCAGAGAAAGAACACAATGACCGCCTTGTTCACTGTGAGTTGAATTCCCATGAATTTAGTTGCCAAAGTCTCAAATTTATTATGTTATTGTCAATAGTGATGTTGGAGCTTCTTTGGATAGAAATTCTCAATCATTGTGGCACTCGGAAGAAGAGTGTTTGCCTGCTGTCTAGGAAAAAGATTTGTAGTTTGGAAAATTTTGCAGCACAGAATAGTCTTGGAATAGTGCTGTAAAAGTTAGAGTGCGGATGAAACCGATTTCCCCCCTCATTTCTCTTGCTGGGCAGCTGCCTGGCTACAGGCTTGTAAGGTCAAGTTTCCTCTATACCGTAGAGAGTGTATTACAAATCATATTATAGTTTGCTTGTCTTTTCTCAAAATTGTTATTTCAGTGCCTTAACCAGCATGAAATTCACAATTTCCTTGGCTTCGCATGATATATCAATTTACAGGGCAATTCATTCATTTAGTAAGTATACACTACGTGCCAGATACTGTGCTAGATGATGGGGTATGTACACATATAAATCAGCGTATCCGATAGTTGTGGTTGTCAGAGTTGACACCATCTTCTCAGAGATCCACATGGGAGGTCAGCCCAGCATGTGGAATTCTAGCAGTGTGTCCCTTCTCTACTAGCCTTGTCCTATCACTGTCTTCTCCTCATCAGATTTCTCCCAAGAGAAATTTTCTTAGGATCATCTCTCTTGGTTCTTCACCTAACTCTACTTCACTGCTTTTCTGAACTCAGCTTTTATCTCAACCCAAAAAGCTTTTCTACCATTTGTTGTGAACTAAGAATGCATCCATTCCTTTAATTTACCGTACAGTGATTTACATATGGGCTTTTCTGTTTATTTCTTGAGATATCCAGTTTTAGACCACTGGTTTATTCTACCAATAACTCTCCCTAAAGCAGATCTGTAACTCTTTCTTGTGGCAGTTCTGTGGCCTCCTCACAGGAATGCTATTTGGCCAGCCTTCTCTCATGGCCCACGTCCAAACGTAGGGAATATTGGCTTTAGAATCTTACTTCTTGGTGTTTTACTGATCTCACTTGGATGTTCCTTATGCCAATTTTTATACCCAAGCAAGATCCTTTCCCTTCCGCCTCCTTTCCCATCACTATCTTATTCCCCAACTTCAGGGCATCTTCTGAACATTTGCTCATCAGCCTCATTTGATACTCCAAGAGCACAGGCAAGAACTTTCAGGAAGAGAGTCATGTTGCTCTTTCCAGATGCTCAGAACTGGCTCAAGGAAAGACTAGTTTTTGTAAAAAACCCAAGAGAGTAAGATTAAAAAACACATGGGGAGACTTTTTTTTCTATTAAAAAGAGCTTTTTTGTGTGGTTGTCACTCTTAGGAGACAGTGGCAGTGAAAAAAGAGAAGTCCCAGAGCAGACGTGCACATTGACCTGTTGTAGATGTTCCCTGGGTGGTCATGCCCCAGGTGGCTCTCTTGCATTCATTGATTTTCTGGCCCAACCATTCACTGGGGGCTCAGGCACTGCCAGGGTATTACCAGGAGAACAGTAGGAAACACATCTAAGACATATTTGTGACCAAAAGAAACCTTCTTTGACTAGAAGAGCTTGATATTTACTTTGTATTGAACCTCAAGAGGCTTTTTAAAAATAAGTTTTTATTGATACTTAGAGAGACAGGAAGGGAGAAGGAGAGAGAAAAACATCAATATGAGAGGGAAAGATCAATTAGTTGCCTCCCACATGCACCCCTATCAGGTATTGAGCCCACAACCTGGGCACGTATCCTGCCCAGGAATCAAACTAATGAGCTTTTGTACATGGGATGACGCTTAACCAACTGAGCCACACTGGCCAAGGCCTCAAAAGGCTTTTCATTGAGGCCTTTCCCTTCTCTGGGGGCGGTGTCTCCTTACACAAGATCAGGATGGGAATGCGGACATTCCTTCCTTACCTTCTAGTCACTGATCTGTGTGTGTAACAGGGCAACATGTGGCTATACCACCTGTGACGGCATAATCTGGATGTTCTAAGTGACACAGAAAATCCACCTTTCAGTGGCTGGAGTGGCTCCTGGAAGACTTGGGCAAGCATTTCTGGAGAAACATGAATGTCCTCAGAAAAACCAGTCAATGTTTTAGATGGTCAGTTCAGCAAACCAAGTCTATGGTCTGGCCAGTGTTTCAGTTGTTGAGTGTCAACCCATGAACCAAGAGGTTACCTGTTTGATTCCCAGACAGGTAACATGCCAGGTTGCTGGCTGGATCCTCAGTAGAAGGCATGCAGGAGCAGTTGATTGATATTTCTCTCTCATAGATGTTTTTACCTCTCTATCCTTCTCCCTCTCTTTCACT